GTTTCCTTTTTGCGAACATGTAGGTAATAATTATGTTGTGTGCGTAGTTGCCAGGATATTATAATTAAAATGTACTTAGTGAAAAAATATTATACACGTATTTTTTTTTAATATTTCGATAAAACGGTGCGTATATTTAAGTATGGGATCACTACGTCTCACGTTCCTCTAACTAAAAACGTAGCCACTTGTGACGTCACACATTATTTCAGATCAATAATATCGTAAGAAAAGAAACACATACGTGTCTAATGTTTTGACAATTTTAGGAAACTTATTTAAGTAAAACTTCAAGAGTCAGTGATCATTATTTTATTATTTATTTCTATTTAATATTTACACGTCTTCATAAAGTAAATCATATTTTCCATACAATAAATCGAAACAGTTAATATTTAAAGATTACATCATCAGTACATACATACACTTATTGCTTCATTTATTACCCTACAAGAGATGCTAGGCAAAGGCTGTATGGGACAATTTTTAACAACAAATATATATTGAGCGGCCTGTACACTCCCACGAACCTTAGTAGCATGATGAAAGTAAGATTAATTGCTATTTTATGAAGTGTTAACTTTTCACAAATTGAAATCGAAATATAAGAGTAAGTATTACACAAGCAAACGACATTTATAACAAGAATTTCATTGCAACAGCATGTTACTTATAATAACTGCCACTTAAAACACTCAGACACATGTTGCCGGTATCACAGCGTACGGGCCGCCACGCTAATTAAATAAACATATATGAACATACAGCCTAAAAGTTGAGTTATCTCCACAAGGGTAAAATACGACATCAACACACACCAATGTGAACGCTAAATACTCATTCACATTCATTGTTAATGTATGTAGAAATTTTAACACTAATTTACTCATGAATTTAATTCAGTCCCGAAGTGTCAACTTATGAAGAGTAGAAGACAAGGTGTTTTTTATAACAAACTAGTAACGATTCTAAAACAAATCATTTTATTAGCATTAATCGTTTCCACGCGACATGGAACTACACGACGCGGGGCCCGGGGCGCCCGGGTCCGCCTCGTAAAGGGGGCCTTGCAAGGAGGCCCGACAACAAGCGGGTCTCCATACACTTTCCTCGTGACAGTTCCTAAGGCGCTTTGCTTTGTCTTTGACGTGCCCTACCAACTGTCGCCACCAAGTGACGTCAAGAACAGTGAGTAAGGTCTCTGGGAGACAGGTGTTGCTTTACAGATCATACGCTAACAGTCGAAGCAGTACTTCACTGCTGACAACAACACACGCATGCCCCCTTTGTACTATACATTATTTTGCCTACATGAAACTGTTTAAAATTAAACTCTTTTGGAGCTTGAATACGGTTGAAAAATATCCTAAAATATGAGCCCCGGATTACGCGGTGCCTGTTAATTCATAGGTTCTAAAAATATAGTTTTATATGAGTAAATTGGTAATACAGATATTTGTATCAGATTGTTACACTGAGTGTAGGTCTCGTCTAAAACAGGAGAAAGCTGTTGATTTTGATTGACAATACAAATAGTCAGAGTTATTCAGCCATCTGAGTTTAAAATGGAAATTGATTTGTTTCATTACACACCTACAAGTAGACATTTGAGTGTTATTTACAAATATTTAGATCTACTATTATGTGAAATCGAAACACATTTATAATCAGCATAATATACGAAAAATACTACAACACTACTTTAAAATTGTCGGAAAATGCAAATGACGGCAAAGTGAACTCCGTCTGCCATCGAGTACGTATCACCTGGGGTGTAGATTAATTATTTCATCAATGTCCAGTAACACAGTATATAAAGTACATATTATCATTAAGACAAATGTCTTCCAAACTACACTTATGGAAAAACGTTTTGACGATTACTGCAATATTATAATGTTATTAATCTGGTACATATTGAGATAAACACACACAGAAATATTTGAAAACTACTAACCATCCAATAAAATACACCAATGAGTGAAATACATTATAATATTAATCTGAATAATTAAAACACATAATGAGCTTTTGCCAGGACTTAAGGACGAAAATAAAAATAACTGGCATTTCAACTCAACCTCATAACAACCGATCTCTGTATATCAATCTCTCGCATCTTCGTCCTGAAGAAATCCCAAAAACTCACAATGTTTGTGACGAATTTGTATTGTCTTATACGTCTACAAAGATAATGGCAATAAGCTAAACAATACGACTGGCTTTATATAACCGGTTAGAAGCCCTGTCGTCACACGAACTGCCGACGTTCGGTATATGTGTATACGACTCTTATATTTCATCATGCACAACACTGTAAATGTTATAACAGTTTTGCCTAACTATGTAAAAACACGTCGTCAACATACTCCAATTTATCGGACAACACACGTGCTATCTTGTTACACAAATACGACGCACCGAGATTGCCATGCTACTAGTGACGGAGCCAAATACATGCTGACAGTCCATCAGAACTCAGTAATATCGCATAGTTAATAGAAAATTAAAAAAGAGAAAAATCCGCAAGTTCATACATTAACTACAAAATATGCTCGATAACAAACAAAGTCTATACAAAACGACTAAATAATATTTTAAAATGGTTATAATATATACATAAAATACTATTAAAATCCTTATGATGTAGTTCGAACTTTAAACTAAATAAAAAATCGGACATAAACAATTTCTGTCAAACAAACTATACACAAATTAGACGTTTAAGAAGTAGTTATTAATATTAGTAGGTGCAGAACTTTACACAACATTATACTACCCCATCAGGTATACAAACCTATTGTCGTCATATGTACAGAACATTGCAAGAAAATGTTACTACACAAATTAAAATAAATCATTTCAAAAATCCTTCACATAGTAACCTCCGACGAAATACTTTCATAAACGATTCCTAATGCTTGGGGAGATACTAATGTCTTAAGAAAACAGACGCTACGAACTTGGCAAAGAATCTTCTTTGGTAAGCCGCATCGCAAATGGATATGGCACCATAAAAATGGAACCAGTACGACTACATAATAACTGATAAAATGGGAATAATTAAGAATGTAACGGTACTAAATAATTTAGCAACGGAGAGTAATCATCGCTTGTTTCAAGTACTTCAAGTATGTACAATACTGAACACTACAGGGAAAAGATTAATGAACATCTAGAAACAGTGGCCATACACAGCATAGGTATAGAAGAACTAAACGTACGCCTCGTTGGTATATCTGGCTGCTGATTAGGTGGAGATATTCAAGGGGCGAGAGGGAGACCAGAGACTTTACAACTTGTAGAACACGATAGAATTAAAGACAAGAAATCCAATGGAAAAATGGATACGACTTATGCTGAATCGCAGCGTCAAATTAGGAAATTGCTCAAGCGAGATATATAGAACCATGATGATGGTATCGTTGAGAACATCACCAACAACAACAAGAATCTGAAAGCGTTATGGATGGATGGATTATAATTTGTGCTGGTCTGGCGACAATTAATAATTATAGACGAGGTTGACGAAGGTTAATTAAAATAAGATATAATAATTACTGAGCGTTAATTTTCTGACGAAAAAGCAGACAGCTAATACTAATACTACGGGTATACTACTGTATACCCGTTAAATTATTTTTATTAAATAATATTAAGACGGATATTACAAACTGCTGCAGTTATTGCAACTATTTATTCAGTCTGTACTAGCTAGCCTTGAGGATTCCTAAGTAACTTCAAAGCATTATTTTAAACAATGATCTGATAATTCACCAGGACATCTATGACAAAGCAAACCAGGACAAAGTAAATAATAAATATATCCGATAATATTTTTGACAGCGGCAGATATAATTGCAAATTAAAACTTAAAATAATTTAATGCAAGCATGCAGATAAAATTGCGATTCATTTTGCTAAAACAAAATTAATAAGATGTACTGAAAATATTACAAGATATTATCGTTTCCCTGTTCAAAACATTACCCGAATGTTAAAACAATAATGAACACGATCAATTAAATAAATTATTAATGCGAAATACAGGCACTATGTTTAAAATGAGCAAAATAAACAGCCACACGACCTGAACGCAAATATATTACACAATAATTATTTTGTTAAAAGCAGTTGTGATAAAAACCATTGCACATCATTTTACTAAAGATAGTAAATTTACTCAATTAATTGGGTGCATAAGAATAACTGGTGCATTTTCCAGAATTGCCAGAGTATCTTTACATACCGCTTTAAAATTTGTGTACCTACATCTGTTCAATTATAATTAAAAAAAAATATACACTCGCCATCCTTAAATCAAGAAGGATATGGCTGCTTGGTGAACAGGTGCAGGTACAGAAGTTTTCAAGAGAAGTACACAAGGAACCGAAATACTAAACAAAGGCAAATCTTGAAAATGCACCCACTACTCTGATGCACACAATTAATCTACATAAATTACCGATATACAACAAAAAACATTAACATCGAGCTAATTTCAGGAGTTGCTGTTATCATACCAGAATCTCATTTACGGATTATCACGAAATTCATTATTTATTAGTGTAGAAATTGACTAGAACATTGCAAGATCCTCACTAAGGAGTGGCACTGAGCCACTTGAATCTGTTTCATGATTACACTGAGAAGCAGGGCAATGGAGTTTGTAACACCGTTGAGCAAATAGTGCTGAGATAAATGGGGTACACACGATAATGAAAATCAAAACCTCGAATAACGAAGCACCGTAATTTTACTACAACGAAGCATTTTGCACAATGCACGTTGCATTCGTTGTTCGAGTGCTTTAATTGTAATAAAATCAGTGCTACATTAGTTCAGGTGTTGATTTTCGGTACCATGTATCACAACTATGCGGAAACATTAGGTTCGGCCAAGCGAACTTAAACCTAAAAACAAGCACGTCAATCAAACCGAATCGGCACAAATATATAATTGAATATAATTTAACTTTTGAGTGTAGCACATACACATGCATGATTATGCTTCATAACAATAATTATGATCTGTTTCGATCAACACACGACTATTTCGTTATTGTTGCTCTTAATAGATTGGTTTATATTATGATAATTCATTGGATTGAGATTTATCGTTTTTTGTCACGTGTGATTGCACTATTAATTGCAGTCACAACTGACCAAGAACGTGTTTGTATAACAGATAACACATTTTTGCGACATGCGAAAATTAGGAATATTATGGTAAAAATAAACGCTTCAAAGATGACACTCCTTCACTCATTCTATGGCCAGAACACACTGAAGGCACAATATTACGGTGGTTTATTATGCACTAGGTTAGTGACAAGTTGACGTGTGCTTCCATGGTCAACTTACTAGCTGGCTCGAATGGTTACTCTGGCAGATACATTTTATTACTACGCCGTTAATTAAACATTCGCGATACACTGTCACAAACGTACGTGGGTCGTACGAGGCGCTGCAGCCTCGTACGACCCAGCGTCGGGCGACCTCGTTGGGTTTTTGGCATCAAAGGTTGCACCCTAGCGGACCTGAAGAGAATACAATGTGGAAGTATGGTGTACAGATTTCACCTTTGGATGGATAAAATGCAAAAGAAATATATAGACAGGTTACTATATTACGAAAAAAATATTATAATAATAATACTCTGACTCAACAATAATTATACATATCACTTACACACATACATACATACATAACACCGTACACCTAAATATACCACAAATTATACATCACATAAAAGGAAACAAAGCAGTTTGATAATGACGTTTAGAGAAAAGTAGAAGTGGTAAAAAATTGGGTGTCCTGTCGGGGGTGAGACAGTACTTCACACAGGAAAAATTGCTCACTCTTTACCAAGCATAAGTTTAGTTGTGTATGGAGTACTGCTCCCATCTTTAGGATGGCTCAGCAAAATGCCAGCTGGAAGGTCTTGAATCCGTCGTAAGCCTCTCGGTCTTTTATCGGATACATTTCGGTGAGTGTGCGTGGGTGTTATATAATTTAATTCCCTCTACCCCATTTCACCATCGTACTACCACCAGACGAACGGCGGGGCGCTACCTTTATATAATAGATATTCCACCGATTCGCACGAAGCGTTTCGCTTTAAGTTTACTAGTGCGAACCGCTAGGGAGTGGTACTCCCTGGCGGAGTCTGTTTTGCCTATAAAGTACAATTTGGGTGTCTTCAAGTCCAGAGATAACAAGATTGAACGGCCAGTTAGTGCCAAACGCCATCATAACTTCCTCCTTAAATGCAATCAACGACTGAGCTTATTTTATCGATACTAGCAGTGCACACCACTCCCCACTCTCATCCAATCTCAGATTCGCTGACAACCTCAGTGATCTAAGGAACTTGAAACGTTATTTGAGGTAAGAGGGGGCACGGATTGAACAGTATATTGTAAGTAAGGGATATGGACAAGATATGAGTATTCCGGCGAAGGTGGATTGGTGGTGTTGCGAACAGTAACATGTTTGCCTAGATTCGCTAGTGCTTTCCTCTTAATCATGTCCCTAATCTCCTCTGTCATCCATGGAGCTGGTAAAGGTAGAGTATTTTTGTTGGTCGTATAGGTGCATGTCATCCTGCAGCAAGTGCGGTTTCTTATCAATTGGAAACCACGTAAGGAGATAGGAGGAAGGCATGGTTTTAACCAGGAATCGTATACAAGAATTGCGTGGATATTCTTATAGTCCAAATCTGCCAGCATATCACGGTAGTGAGCTGGATTACTGGAGCTAGCATTTATATATAGATAACATTGTGATTCTTCAGTACAAAGATCTGCCAAAAAACTTGATGAAAAAGTCGTAGAACAAAAATCGTTGCTATGATGTTAGTAATACGGTCCTTCGAGGTGGTTAGTTATAAACCCTGCACTATATAGATATACAGTAGGTAACGCGAATGTTTAATAACATTTTGCTTGCACTTTATTACTATAATTAAAATAAATCGGTAACCTTGTTCAAAATTTTACACAGCTTAGAAAAGTATTGAAGATGAAATTGACAGCCAGTAATATGCCTCGATTCAATAATACATATGTACAAATTCTTACGATACTTAAACCTAGAAAAATATATTAGGTGGCACTGACGACACAGCTTTACATGCCACAAAGTATTACTACGAGGTAAATAAATTAAAACTGTATCATTCATAACAATAATAAAACTAGTTTAGCTTTGGAATGTTTTCTTTATCAGTCAAATCCGAAATTGGTAACCAGAAAGAAACCGCTAAACATTCCACAGCTATAGTGGATTTATTGATTGCTTATGAACAATACGGCGAATTTTTAAAAGCATTCAACGGTGTAAATAAATAAATCCTAATGTTGGGCAACGTTTTTTAAAAAAAAAAAAAACAAAAAAAAGTCTGCCCATAAAATCGGCTATTTCATTGAAAAAATATTATTCAATTATGACTATAATTATATAATTATTCATTTAAAAAAATGTAATTGCATGTAGCAGTTGTAAAAGACGTAAATACAAGAAATACTCGGTGTCACGTTGTATTGTCAACGCCAGCTATATGTACAGTGTCGACTGCTTGAGAGAGAAAGCGCGTTGTATTATTGATTCGAGGGAGTTAATGTGCGATGGGGTGACGCAGCCTCGCGAGCAGACCCGATGGATACCAGCGGGCGGTGCCGACGCTGAGTCACCCGGGGGCATCGAACGTATTAAGATTAAGTGTCGACACAAGTGTTTATATCTCCGATGGGCTATCACAAGGCGAGTTAAGAGTGAACACGAGAGGGTAGGCGCCGATACCTCACACGGTATCGATATCGCCTACATTGATGCGGTCTTCGGCAGCAGTCACTGAGAATCCCAGTATGCGCACGTCGACCTTCAGCATCTTATTCTTCTTAGATTTCTTCCCTTTGCCCTTTACCTCCTGGTAATCGGAGCCGGAGGGAGTGCGCGGGTTCACTGCGATGGCAGGGGAGCACAGATCATCAGATGGCGTCACCATTCCGACGCGGAGAAGTTTAGACCTGAAAAAATCAATGAATTAGAAAATAGAATGATAATATTCTTATAGGATACAATGTTGAAACATGATCAAAATCTGGATGTTATCTAGATAATAGTAAAGCCAAAGAATTAAAGTTGGCCGTCATTACCTTCTCTCCAGAAACTGGCGAGCGAAATCGTTGGATTCCTTCGACTCGCCCAGGTAGCATTTGACGTAATCTTTCACCTCGTAAGGTGACTCAATATCCTTCAGGAAGCCAACAAATGTTGGCACTGAAATAGGAGACACAAAGACTTGGTTAATAGTTTGTTGCATTGTTAGTTCTTTAACAAAATGTTTGAGTACAACAGTATCCCGTGTTTTGGGAATAATTTTCAATATTCGCTACTGAGCAGCTTAGAAGTTATTCATTGTTGTAATGCTTACAAATTGTGGCTAGCGATTTTATAACAATCGCAGATATTGATAAGACTACACCCTTACACGTACATTATGCATTCAGCATTAGCGACCTCACATTTTTATATTTTAAATTATTTTCGATGTTTCTCGATGAGCAACAAAGAATGAAACAACAAAAAAGTGGACTGCTTTAAGAGTATTCGCAAAGGCAATGTATTATTAAGTTTTTCGATTTACAGAAATACTCAGTGGTAGCACTGAGCCTGAAATAATGCAGCATGTATGCAATACTTTCGGAAAGTCGGCATTCCATACGGAATTAAAAGGCCTGATATATGTTAAAAATTTAACAACCTTAGAACCCAGCTGTTTATTTCGCATTCAATTAATTTCAAGATTAATGAAAGCATTGAAGAAAACCTAGACAATCTTTGTTTTCGTGATAAGTACTTCAATGCTTTATATGCTTTAGCAGTGGTACAAATAGATACTTGTTACTAGCTAGCATTTAAACAAAAACTAATACAACTCGAAGATTTTTCACTTCACTTTTTAGTAATCTTGCGAGATGCACAGTAATTGCATTGAGGTTGTATTTAAAACACTGCCTCATTCGATAATATTATTTAATTTTTAAAACGTTCTTTTACATTAAGATTTTCTCCTGTCGTAGCTTCATTTACAAATACACACGTACCTAGACCCGCGGGAATCGAACCCGCAACACATTGCTCAGGAGACAGTTGCCCAGTCACTCACAATGCCAGTCGTGCAGTCTTAGTGAATAGAAACGGGTAAGTTTGATTTCGACATCAGCAATGTATGTTTTTAGAAAATTCTCAGCATAATATGAGTTCAAGGTACTATCGCTATAGGCTCGCCCGCTGTTATATATAACTTACTGGTTAAGACTTTGTGTTACATCTAATAAGTACACCTCTGCCTAGCTTTTTAGTGAATAAAAGACATTTGTGTGAAGAGGACACTGTTTCTTAATAATTTATTTGCACAAGTTATAAAAATAATTCAGAGGCAAAGCAAACGCAAGCAAAAAGTCGCATAAATTTAAATTGTAGCTAAGCATCAATTCCAAAACTTTCTATCGCTTATAACACATTTTTACGATTCTCAAAATTGATGTATTGTGGTACAAACATTTCTAACAGAGTCAAAAATTTACGTTTTAGCAAAGCAGAGTAATGTCTATCTTTCTAATTACAATAGCTAGTTAATTTTTACATTCAATTTTCACAGTTAATTATACACTCTCGAAAGTGTAATTTAGAACAAGCTCACGGCACATTTATCTGTAATTTCCAATATTTTAATGGACCGCCATTTTCCCACCATTGGTAGAACAAAGACAATGGAAAGTATACCAGTAGTTTTGTACGTATTATTTTGGTAATTTGGTATTTACTCACTACTCGCGACTTCGTTCAGGTGGTATAATTTAGTTCATTATTTTCTTCTCTTAATCCCCAGACCAACAATAATATATCATATTCATACTTTATACAGAAGAAACGTTTCTGTCTGTATGTACATGATAAACACTATTTAAATATGTCATCGTTCAGTGATTTCATATGGTTTTGAATGCGCGGGGGTAACTGCGGGGCGCACAGTTATATATGGCATACTGTTCAATCATTGAATTATTTTTAAAAACGTTGCGCTGCCTATGATTTTCTCCCGTGTCGTGGGTGCATTTCTCGGAACGACAATTTATAGACCTTATAACACATTGCACCTTAACCAGTTACCCAACCGCCGTGCCGACCGTGCAGTCGTTTAGATATGGTTGTGCACCTAGCTTCATTGGCGGATAGATTTTGACGTCTCAAAAGGATTTCAATTAGAAATAAATTTTTTAACTTAGACAACTTACCATCAATTTTTGAGCTCCATGAAGAGAGCACGTTAGTGCACCAAGCCTCGAACTCGATGGCAGGAGCCATGTCCTTTTTCAATGGTATGGGAAGAGTCGGTTTCTTCTTAGACCTAGCTCCAGTGGACTCGGACGGCTTCGGAGCATCATTGCCCTTGTCCTTGCCTGAGTTAGGCTGGGTATCCCAGAATCCACCCACTGAAAAACATAATACCAATTGTTACTAAGACTGCCTTTGATAAGTTACAAAACGAGTGGATTTGTTAAATGACTTGAATTTTGTGCACTTCGTACTAATTTAATTAATATTACTTTACGTTAGTAATATATAAAACTAGTGTAGAAACAACACTTATGTGATGAAAATAAACACTTTAAATTGAAATTATACATAGTAATTTTAATGAAGTGAATTATACAAATTAAAAATACGGTAAAATTATTATCAAAATCCTCTATATTCAGTAATACATTTTCAGCCAGTTACAAAAGTAATTGAAAATCTAAACACTACCGTATTTGTTATCCCTGAAGGTTTAAGGATTTGATGTAAAATACGGAACTTACCTCCATTATGCGTATTGGCCCATGGGGCGTGGTTAGTTTGTGGTGGTGCTGCGGCGGCGGCCTCGGCCTCTTCAACGACCTTGGCAGCAGCGGCCGCTGCCACGGCTGCAGCCATAGCTTGTTTGCGAGTCTCCGCCTACAATAACAAAGAACTTAGTAACCACCTATTTATAACATCAGTCCTATCTGTAACGTTAACACCATCTGAAACCCGTTAAGAAAATTCTAATCTGTCAATATTGGGTCAGCTTCTATTTTCACCACACAAAATCAACTTTACTACATACACACATAACCTCACGCCTGTCTCCCATGGGGGTTAGAAAGACGCTATGGATTTTACTGGACAACTCAAATCAACGCTATCGTAGCGCCCTCCAACAAACGACATCAAATTCTTCGGGAATATCATAAAATACTTATATTGATTGATATAAACATCTATAGCATTTCAAAGCAATAAAATCAATAAAAAATAATGAGTAAACAAATATCAAATATAATAAAACTGACCTGAATTTCTGTTAAACTTGGGCCCTGAGTGTTGTTGTTGCCCTTTTTCTTGGCCCAACCTAGTCCGGCCTGCATTTCCTATAGAAAAAAGACACAGAATAAGCTACACTGAACATCAATATATAAGCAGTAAGCAGCACACGAAGACAGCGAGGGTTTCATAATACACACCGTGTTAGTTAGTAAAAGGAAACACATACTAGGTCTATAGAGTTAATTAATAAAGAAGCCAACCCAACACAATAAAAATACGCCTGTCATATTACACCGTCTATTAACACAAGTATATAATGTTGCATTAAAAAAAATATCCAATCACCCAACATACGATTTAATACCACAGGCACCATTGTTAGTAAGAGTGAAAAACATATAACGAGACTGATTGTTTATACAAAACACAGTTTGTTATTTATCTATATATAATAGACAAGTTGCAGTTATTATAAAAAATGAAGTTTCAAACGCGATTTCCTCCGAAATTCATCAATACAACGATAAAAATATAGACTTTTTATAAGACGAAATAGAACTATTGTTTTAATATGTCATTTAAGGAGATAATCGCATTTAAACGTTGCAGTGTACATATATTTTAACACATACTGTACAGTTGGTTAACAAATCGTGCGGTAAGCATTATCACTAAGAGTTACTTAGCTACGGGGAAAAAAACCGATTAAATGAAAATATTAATTTTAATTACTAGAAAAGTTGTAAAACTTAATATCTAATCTTCTGTACAAAGCTCAACCTCCAAGCGAAAGTGGAAATCCGACCTGTTCCCGGGCAAGAGCGGCGGCTTGTTGTTGCGCAATGATCTGCATCATTTGCTGTTGTTCCTTCATCTGTTCCAGTTTCTTCTCGCGTTCGAGTCGCTGTATCTCTGCGAGCGTGAGTCCGTCCTTGTTTGTAGCTTGCATGGTTTGGCTAGTGACCGAGGACCACGGTGCCTTCTTTATAACCGACTCAGACGCCTGGCGCTGTTGTTGCTGTGCCTGCTGTTCCTGTAATCATACCGCCATAAAACACAACGTTCGTAAACTAAGTCATAAACAAATTGAAGGGATTTTTGTACCTATCATAAAGGTTAATGATTAATTACTCGCATTTGTTTATATGTACGTAATGACACATAGCGACTACGTGGAAGTGGTTTACTATGCTATACAAAAGCACTACGCCTACGCTAGTTTAAAATAGCAGCCGTTAAGTTTACTATACTAAAATAATCGAAAGAATATCTATATAATGTAATAGGTAATGGATTGTGTTGTGTCAGTGTACAGTTTATAGAATCAATTTCATAGCTGTAAATTCAAAACAAACGTATGAATGATTCAAATATCTATAGTGCTTTTTTATTTCAATTACAGAAACAAGACGTGGCTGCCATCGAAATTTGATGTCAATTTAAACAATGGGTCGGCAGGGCATGCCGTATTATTCAGTCAGTTACCCCAAAAACTAATCTCTTTGCTATTAGTGGAGGTTTTCAGCACATAAATAGAATCGAATAAATAGAATGACCACATTCAAGGATTATAAACAAAAGTTGCCAGTCAGCGAACCAGTATCGATGGCACAGCATTACACAGTAAAGGTTGGTATTATTATTTCCAAGTTACACTTTTGGTTATTCGACTAAAAGTGAGTAACAATTATGTTAAGGTAGATTCTGTACTAAAGGAACGATCAGGAATGTAAAATATAGATTTTTATAAGAATCACGCACCTGCTGCTTCTTAGCCGTTTCCAACTGCTTCTTCTTCTTTTCTTCCTCAGAAGCTAATTTCTCTTCCTCTTTCCTGTCAAAACACAAACATCTATATAAAACTACATTATTTGTTAAAACCGTCACCTATAGTTAACAAGAAACTCGCATTTTAACAACCTTGACGTACAGACATAAGTTACATACTCCTTTGTACGATTACACCAGTAAAATTATTTACATTAAGAGTCTTTCTAAATATACCAGCTCTACTTGCATGGTGTCACATAGTAGTGTAAGCACAAATCATTTGAAAAGAAAGCATAGCATTTACGTGGGTTTCATTGCTCTCTAGTAAGTGTACAGTTATATTCCAAAGATACGATACTGGATATCTTACTATGCTAAGTGCGCGTAAAAGACGTTTCTACTCACCTCTTACGCTCAGCCTCTTCAGCAGCGCGCGCTTCTTCCGCCTTCTTCTTATTATCCTTATTTGAGCCCTTTTCCGCTCCCTTCACAATAGTAAAGCCTTCTTTGATCCACTCCTATACAACACAACGAAAGAAACATAATCAACAAACATCAAACACAAATATCAGTGAAAAACATCAAGCTGTACTCAAAATACAAAGCCAAGCGGCTGTCACTGACTTTATACGATTGAACAAATATATCTATAGTCAACATACTGGTAATACAAGACAAAATTAGCTATATCGCATAATGCATGGCTATAATATGATTACAACAGACCAATAAGATACAAGAGCTGTGTCGAATAATGTAGCATTATGTATTTCAAGCAAAGTTAATGTGGTAACATTGCTTTACTATGATTAATTGCTCGGTGAAGCAAAAAACCAGTTTTAAATATAAAATTAATTTACCTTCTTCTCCTTTTCAATGTCTTTCTTATTGGTCTTTTCTTCTTTCTTGTTCTTGGGCGGCGATGGTTCCTGTGATCTTTTCTGTTAAAACATTTCGTGTTAATCACTTAAAAATGTTTCGTTAAAGCCTTTAAACATTATGCACATAAAGTGTACGAACGACAGGACGACACGATTGCACAATAATGTCACATCATACTCCAACGACACAATATTATTAGGTTATTTAAAAGGATGCATAATTATACTGAAAGAAAATATTTTTTTGCTGAAAGAATGTTAATTTTAAATAATATCTGGGAAACCATTAATATTGATATAATCGGTTGACCAGTAATTAAATAGAGTAACTGAAAAAGCGACGCTTACAATTTGACGCATTGGTCCTTAAAGACGGTCCTTCGCAAGGCGTCCTAAGACTGACTGATTCACTTTCAAGTCTAAATTGGCTGTATATTGCAAGGCTCTCGATGCGCCCGCTAGCTGACCTTAGGTCGCTCATCAATTTGTTCGACAGATTCATCGAGGAACCCGGCTTGCTAATGCGTACCAGCTACTTCAATGTGAGTATATTGAATTTATATGTGTAATCATTGTTAGTGACTACAAATTGAATCGTAACTACAACTATTGTTCGACATAGCAATATTTATGTGATGTAAATTTTTATTCATGTGACTTTTTTAGACTCACAATTTGTTGTCAATTTCTGTGCATTCTTTAAAATAACTTTTAAACACGTAAGCCGTTACGGGATTGTTACCTTCGCAAGGTTCAATATGAAATTATACAGTAGCGTCAACTTTAGTACGTTTATAACGAGTACTTTATTTATAGAATATATTTATTACTTTTACATTAATTGCTCAAAAATTCAAAACATTCTAATGTCTATTAAAGGTTATTGCATTGATATTGTTTAAAATAATTTTGATGCTTTCTGACAATTATCGTTGGAAATTAACTGTGCACTATTTGAATTTACTATAAGACCATTATATAATAGCAGAAACTTTCAACGACTGTTCACGACGACTCACCCAGGCATATTGTAAACTAAGAGAATATTTTAGAACCGGATTACAAAATGACGTGTTAATAAAGATGTAATGATTGTTCCACATGGCCGGATCAGATGTCGCTAAACACACGAAACTGATCACAACACGGATAGTGCACCACAGATACGTACAAATAAGATAAAAATGCGGTCTTACCTCGACCTTGGCAGCTTCCTCCTCCTTCACCTTATTATCAAGTTCATCTTTCTTTTCTTCCTTAGATTTCTTATTCTTATTCTTTGTGTTATTGTTCTCCTTATTCTTTGTGGTCTTATCAGTTTCCTTAGCCTGTTTCTGCTGTTTCGGCTCAGCACCGTTCTTGTTAGACAGTGGCTTGACGATGATGACGCTCGACTCGCTCACACTGTGCTCCAGTTTCACGGGCTTCGCCACTGGAGGCTGGAAACATGACATAGATTTAATTATTGATCACTGCAAAAAGGTAATTATAGAAAAATATATTCCAGTTTAAAAGATTTGTAAGATATTAACCTGTGGCTCAATGATCTCAGGTTCGGGCACATTGTTGACTGGAGCCTGACCAGTCAAGGTATCTTTCTGAATGAGCTTGTGTAATTCTTCCAGATTTGGAGTCGCACTGACGTTTGGAGTGAAGCAGTCTTCGGCGCTGGCGGCGGGCGGGGCGGGGCCCTGCAGCTCATTCATGAACGGCTGCGACTGCGGCGGGCCCATGTTCTGCGTCGCACGCAGCTGCGCCAGGATTTGATCTTCCGTCTTCATCTCCTTCGCAATCTCCTCCGGTAGGAGAGAATTTGAATTGATGGCTGAGGGCTGAAATATATTGGCAAACTTCATACATAACTGTTTTTTACAAGGGTCTCCTAGTCCCCATTACAACTATTTTTTTTATTATGATGAGTAATGAATGTGAAAGAGTATTTTGTTTCTTAACTATTCGTTAGTGTACTAAGAGGAATTGGCTATGAAATTACTAACACGTTTACGATATATTAGCGTTCTGCCATCATCCTTATGTAAAACGTTATGAGATGAATATGTAGTAAATAAAGAGAGGGTCAATTTGCAAGATTGCGACCGGTACATTGGGCGCAAAAGCTGCACTTAATTAACTATGTCGCCGTTACAATTGACGTCGTTTGACCTTATCGATAGCAAGTGACCACTCCATTTCTTTACTACTTTGTTGTTACTTATCAATTTGAATGCATATTCTTAAGGAATTTCGTTTCAGCTCTGTTTTACTTCATAAAATGTGAACCATTCGCAAATAATTGTTACACATTACGTCATACAAATAAATGACAAGTTTCGGAAAGTAGACGCTTTGGACATCGGAAGTTTTAGGATATTGGTATCTCTTTGCTAGCATCGGTTCGCATTTTATATAGTGGGCATGTATGACTAGTAAAAAATGTATGACCCGTTAGAATTTTCTCGTTCAGCTCGGATAATACATTTTTTGTGTGTAGATTATGTGATAATTGATATGTAAACTGTACACAGTCGACATTTCTTACACCCAGTGACTACCTACGCTCGCCAGCACTTAACTATTTAACTACAAGCATTTAAGAAACAAAGTAGGTTTTGAATTTCCATTTCAACCCTTATTTTATATAGTTAACATTTAGTAACACCAAAATAAGCGAAACACTGCAATGACTTCCTAAATGTTTATTGGAAGTATCAAATATACCGGTAGGGAATTACATACACCATAAACTAAAAAAAAAATACAGTCATCCGAGACAACATGCACATCATTCCATAGAGAAGATTCGCAAGAATTAGGCCACGTACAATGTGCAGCCGAGGATAGCTATTTATATCTAGTTGTACACAATTGGATAACTGAGTGCATCCTATTAAGTATTGTACCTCTAACGCAGAGTATCATTCAATCGACTTCTTAGATTGGAAGATCATCCTCCACATATCATGTATAGTACTCGGTAGTCGTAACTAGATCACAACTATTATCCTATCACGAACCCAGATCCTTATAAACTTGATTTTCAGTCTGGGTTTATAGGATATTTTGATTTAATGCCCGCATCGAACAAACAAACATTGACTTTATATATCCCATTTAAAATTCTTTGGAGAACAGATTATCGTCGGTTCTGACACAGAACAAGCTGAGTTACTAACGTGTTTTTGATACTTCTGTTTCAGAAAATTGGTTGCGAGTGTTAGTTCAAATACCAGTTTCGCAGATCCCGAAATAGTCAAACTTGAAAATTGTTTGCAACAATTTCCTAACAAGCATAATCTATAAGGGCGGACAACACAATAAAGCGGAAACACAAAATCGAATCCACAAATAGAAAAAGACAACACAACAACTTATTCACTCCATTGTGCACCTTATAATCACCCATCACCGATTTAATACATAATATTTTCACTGAGAAAATATAAAAATAATGAATATGCACTTTCCATTTTCAAAACTGATTTTTTTATAAGCATCTCATACACGTATGCTTGTACCCCTTCGAAAAGTATCTTTACGTGTTGTATAGTTATAAAATAATTGTATATGTTGGTTAATTAATAATAAGCATACACTCAAACAATATTATTACAAACGTCCCTCGTTACTTTACTTTATCACAATATTTAAAACACAAAAAGTTATAAAAAATATCTACCAGCACCAAGAGAATAATAAAAATAAAAGGTAATACATACTTTAATTAGGTAATTTTAGCAAGCATCGCTACGAAAGCTTAGGCTCTCACGGCAGTACTAAGTTCAAAAGGATAACGTTTGAAACAATAGTTTTTTGTTAATGGTAAGTATACAAGTAGATTGTAGTAAACATCTACATGTAGCATCACATCAACAGCCTATGAAAGCCCACTGCTGGGAAAGGTCTTCTCACATGGCGAGAGTATGACCATTAATCACCAAGCTTTTTCAATGCGGATAGGCATGGTACGCCATGGCCGTTATGACGTAGCACGCCATAGCATCTCACGATAGCGATCGCGAAAAGGAATTTGATACAGGACAATGCAAAATGAGCCCCCACGTATCCCCCTAGTTTTCTGATTGTAATATTAATAGGCAGTTCATAAACTAGCTCATAGACTTTTGTCTGGTCACGTTCCACTTAACAAGTTAAAAACACCTCATGGGAAAAACTCCCAGTCCTCATTTGTGCAAAATGTGGCATACGAGTAGTATTTAAGTAAATGTAAGTTTTGTTAAATATGTTTAGGGAATGATGGGTCTGGCATGATCTTTGTGAAAATTAATAAAAAATAATCGCGATCATATGGATCACTTTGTGTCGAGAAATTATGGTTGCTACGTAAGTTGAATTAAGGTTGTAATTTGTACAGCAGTCGTAGCAGTGTGGCTGGGCTTTCAGCAGAATGCCACGTTATGCCATAGAATACGACGCAGCACAATATAAGTATGCCATGCCATACCAGCAGTGGGTGCTGGCCCTAATGCACAATGCTAATATTGTAATTACACATTACTTTTTTGAGGATATCCTCATGTTTTTGATATGATAGAAAAACCTATGACAATTATGTGTAGAAAAAAAACCGACTAAATATTTGTCATGGCTTCGGCGGCATAGGGTTATTATTTGCAACTACGCGGCGCTGGTGCAAAATTGATGCTAGCCAGCAATTCGTCGATAGTTAGTTCCATTGATTTTTCTTTTAAAAATATTTATAAAGTGTTAATGTTGAAATTAATGTTTTTAGAAAATAATCTTCTTCTTCAACTTGCGTAAAGATTTAGCAAGAAAATTGTGACAAAAAAATCCTTTTCAGAGACCAAATGGTAACTCTATATACCCATACAAGTGTATGCGTTTCAATAAATATATCATTTGATGAAGTAGACTCAATAGACTAATAAACATAAACTGTTTAGTTAAATGGAGTCATTAATAGTTCATTGAATAGATCTTGTATTAGGTTTTAAAATTACATTGTGCTATATGAATAAACAAATTCTGAATTTTACAAGTATCTGATTCAAGTTTATTCATTAGGATTTGTTGTGTAAACATTTCGTATGTATGTATATGAAACTGGTGTAGCTGGGTTCGTGGTGAAATAACAACGACAATCAATAAACACAAAAGGCGGATAATATATAATTTCCACAATTCTTAGACCACTCGTCACACAAGGAAATGTTACAATATACTTAAATAGAAAACTTAATAGTAATAGTATTTGGTAACAAGAATTTTACAACAAATCGAAACACAGCCGTTTTCTTGGTCGTTTGCCACATTTCATTCCTATTCACTTATCAGTCTTCCTTGAAAACCAGCCTAGATAAACTTATACAAAAACTTAGCTATAAATGTAAACTAAATATAATTTGTATTACATTTATATTGAAATATTTGAAAATACGACTGAAGCTAATGGTTCTAGCCGAATGAGTGTGGTGAGCTCGCCACAGCGTGAATCGAAAGGTAACACATAAACAGAAACTAACACATATATGCTTATGTTAACTAAGATAAGTAGGCCTTGTATTGTTTCTATATACTCGCCATACCTGCTCGGTTAGGCCATTTAGAAATCTTTGATTGATATATAATCAGTACTTAATCAAATGGAAATCATGCAAAGTATGAATATTTAATTAATAAACATAATAATAATAATTAAAACAAATTCATAATTCAAATACCATTTAGTAACCAAATCAGATAAGATTTAATTTTTAGTTTAATTTTTAGATCATTAGGCTGGAAATATGGGATCGCCTGGTAAGTTTATCGAACTTGTTGACAAATATGTAGATTATGATGTGCTTCGATTTCCATTTCGTACTTTGCGACATCGTCCGTGTTCCGCCGCCATCTTAGAAATATAGCGTCCAATAAGTTTTTTACAATACATCTTTTCCTGTGCATTTTACATGATAAAGGGTTATCACAAATATGAACTAGGCATAATTTTCTCTACAATTATGTGTAGACAGTTTCTTTTTTTGTAAATGCCAGAGTATCGAATAGTAAATTTAAATGACCATTTAGGGAATAAATAAATTTTTACACCACGTGGACCGAAAAAAACGCGCCACTTGGTCTACGCAAGCTCTAAGATGGAGACACGAACAGCACACATGCATACGACGTTGCAAAGTGGAAATCGAGAACGGCACATCAAAATCTTCAGAATTCCCAATTTTTAACACCTCCAGAGAACATTCCAAGCAAAACTACCAAATTACTGAACTATAACCACTCAATCGTATAATCATTACAATTTTAAACATAAACGAGATTACTTTCCTTAATTCGAATCATAGCTTCACTAACGTAGCACGAAATTGACGACGACACGACTGTGACGTCACAATGTTAAATAGTCAATCAAATACTAGAAAAAAGAATAAAGAGTGTGCCATATTAACTAACTTAGTGTCTTAGGACAAGAATCGACTACAACAACACACCTAAAGCGATAGTAAGTAAGTAGTAATAGAAGAAAAGAATTAAATGCTAACCAGATCTATAAATGAGGGCAGATAGTATTTTTGTCAAGAATAGTTAATTTTAAATTGACTAATGTATCCAAATATTTATGGTACAACTGCAGGATTGAATAAGGTTCGAAACACTATGAATGTACGTATTCCTAACCCCATTTCAAATGATGGCTGAAAATTATATAGATCTTCTATTATACAATACATACACAGCCAAGCAAATCTTGAATACAATATTAGTAAGTAATAAGATAGATAATAAAGAAGCACTGCTATAAAAAATGTAAATAGCTAGTACCTTCTGAAACAATGTTCTTTACTGAAAGCTC